GATCCAGTTCAATGGGTTGGAGGGGATTCAGGAGCAAGGATTTTACTCCCTCCAATCTTCTTAAGTGAGAGGGGCAGATCTGACCGACACGGGTGAGGTTAGTAAGGTTTCAGCTGAAGAGGGGCTCGGGGGTCAGAAGATGAGAGCGCTCCATGAGAAGAGCCTGACCCTGGTGGCTCCTGGTGCCTGCAGAATCCCCACCGGGGTCTCCTCGCAGCAGCCCTGCCCTGCTCTTATCCTCTCCAGTCCCAGTCCCGGCTGCGGTGGTGGTCTGTTCACACATCTTGCCTTTTTAGTGTGGCTCTTTAATGTAGGAAAGTTCTTGGAAGACCAAGCCAGTTCCATTTCTCTCACTTTGGCTGGTGATGATACACGTGTCTGCCTCCTCTTTCTTTCCTGCCACCCTCACTACCCTTCTTTTGGGTTCCATTCTGCTTGGTGGTGAGAGCCTAGAGCTAACGGGAGGCGCCCCCAGCGGTCCTTGGGCTGTGCAGCAAGGCTCTTAGGCGTTGGGGGAATCCCATTTTATCTTAGGCTAGAAGTAGCCTGGTAGGAGGAAGCGGAAGTACTCGTGCCTGTTTTCAGCAGGGGACGTTGGGTGGATGTTTTGTCTTCTTGGTCAACCTGGCATAGAGAAAGAAACCCGCAGACAGAGGTGGATCTCATCATGAGACTCTGCCCAAATCGTGGCATCTAAACACTCTCTCACCACCGCTGATGCTGTCCATGTTGGTTTCATTCAGCCTTTCTCTGAAGGATCCCTAATACCTTCCCATCAGAGCAGGTCTTCCAGAATGAGCCTGGCTGCTGTTCCTGCTTTAAAGTGTAGAGATAAAATGGAGAGAGAACTGAAAATCCATGGAAGAACATCACAACCCTTGCCAATGCCAGGAAAGCCTGTGGGTGTCAAAAATATTTCCAAGTTGACTGTTTCTTTGAAGCATGTGTTATACGACAACAAACAAATGAATACGGAACACATGGGAAAGAGCCTGCAGTCAGCTGTGATGAGAGGATTCTATCAAATCTACCCATACTAAGATTGGCACTTAGGGTTCAGCACTGTGGCACAGTGAGTCGAGCAGCTGCCTGCAGCATTGTAAGTCCTGACTGCTCCATTTCTCATCAGGTTCCCTGCTCGTGTGCCTCGGAAAGCAGCAAAGGGTAGCCTAACTGCTTGGGCCCCGGCCACCCATGTGGGAGACCTGGAAGAAGCTCCAGCCTCCTGGCTTTGACCTGGCCCAGCACTGGCTGTTGTAGATATTTAGGGAGTGAACCAGTGGATGGAAAAGTCTCTCTCTCTCTCTCTCTCTCTCTCTCTCTCTCTCTCTGTCTCTCTACCTTTCAAGTAAATAAATAAAATCTTAAAAAAAAAAAAAAAAAAAGATTAGGGGCCAGTGCCGCAGCTCACTTGGCTAATCCTCCGCCTGCAGTGCTGGCACCCTGGGTTCTAGTTCTGGTCAGGGCACCGGATTCTGTCCCGGTTGCTCCTCTTCCAGTCCAGCTCTCTGCTGTGGCCCGGGAAGGCAGTGGAGGATGGCCCAAGTGCTTGGGCCCTGCACTCACATGGGAGACCAGGAGAAGCACCTGGCTCCTGGCTTCGGATTGGTGCAGCACGCCGGCCATAGCAGCCATTTGGGGGGGTGAACCAACGGAAAGGAAGACCTTTCTCTCTGTCTCTCTCACACTGTCTAGCTCTGCCTGTTAAAAATAAAAAATAAAAAGGTTAGGCATTTCATTTTATGAGACTTCCATTTTTGCAGTTTTAATCTTTGGAAAATTAGAAATCTGTAGACAGAACACTCCACACTGTAAAAGGCACTCAGGATTTGGAGCCCATAGTGCAATAAGGCTGGAGATGAGACCCTGGAAGACTTGAGGGGCTACTTTGGGTTTATATTTCCTCATCTTCAAAGTATGCAGGGCCTCCCTTTTAAACTCAGAAATTCTGTGATACCCCTACTGCCTTCATCCATAACATGCTTGACTTCCTGTTGCAGAATGAATTCCAGAAATAGATTTCATCTCAGAAGCATTAAACTTGGATGGATGGATGAATAGATGGGTGGATAGCAGAGCTTAATGTAACTTATTTGGAGCCTGTACAGGAGCCTTTTTTGAAAAAAAAAAAAAAATATTTATTTGAAAGGCAGAGTTAGAGAGAGAGAGAGAGAGAGAGATACAGAGAGATCTTACATCTGCTGGTTCACTCCCCAAATAGCCACAGCAGCCAAGGCTAGGCCAGGCTGAAGCCAGGAGCTTCTTCTGGGTCTCCCACAAGGATGCAGGGGTCCAAGCACTTGGGCCATCCTCTGCTGTTTTCCCAGGCACATTAGCAGGGAGCTGAATTGGAAATGGAGCAGTTAAGACTTGAACCAGTGCTTTATGCGATGCCGGTTCTGCAGGTGGTGGCAAAACCAACTACACAACAACACTGGCCCCTCCAGGAACCTTTTATGTGAGAGAATCTTACAATGAATCGTTTTGCTGTTTGAGCATACAAATCTAGTATTTGTTTGCTAAAAAATGAACCCAATGGAACTGGATCCATTTCTGTCCTGAGTACTCTTAGAGTAAGACTGTATTAGAAATAAGAAAAAACACATGGATTCAATCCCAGAACTCCCACAGTGCTGCCATCCCTCTTCAGGTCTGCTAGCGGTACGTGGGAATTTTATTTTGGAATTAGGTCATTTTAAAAACTGAGGTTGACATCTATTATGTTTCAAGATGTAGCCATTGAGACTAGGGACCTGGAAAAGAGCCGCTTGCATGCTGTGTGGTGTTTCCCGTGGGACTGGCAGTGAGCTGATGGGGTCCATCCTCACTGAGGGCTAAGGACTGGCTCAGGGCAGTGAAAGCACATCATTTTGGAGCCAGAGATGTTTAGATTTTGGTTTAGTTCTCCTAAGATTGATTTATTTGTTTGAAAGGCAGAGTGACGGAGAAGGGGAGAGACAGAGATCTCTCATCTGCCAGTTCACTCCCCAAATGGCCACAACAGCTAGGTCTAGACGAGGCCCAAATCAAGAGTCTGGAACTCGGGGCTCCTACAGGGGTGGCAGGAGTTCGAGGACGTGGGCCATTCTTGGCCACTTTCCCAGGCACGTCTGCAGGGAGCTGGGTCAGAAGTGAAGCAGCTGAAGCTCAAACCAGCCCTCCGGTATGGGATGCAGGACTCAGAAGCAGTGGCCTAACTCGCTGTGCCACAACGCCAGCTCCACGGTCTAGATTCTTTATGCTGCCACATGAACTTGGACCTGATATTCTGCCTGAGGGAGCCTGAGTTTGCTCACTGCCAAGATCATTTTGCTAGAGGATTTCATTTCTTTCTTGGGGAGGATTAAATCAGGGTACATATAAGTGCCTAGCGAAATGCTTGGCACACAGTAGACACTCTTAAAAGTGCATTGTTCTGGGGCTGGCATATTGTGTAGCTGGTAAAGCCACTGCCTGCAGTGCTGCCATCCCATATGAGCACTGGTTCAAGTCCCAGCTGCTACATTTCCAGTCCAGCTCTCTGCTATGGCCTGGGAAAACAGTGGAAGGTGGCCCAAGTCCTTGGGCCCCTGCATCCATGTGGAAGCTCCTGGCTCCTGGCTTCGGATCGGCGCAGCTCCAGTCATTGCAACTATCTGGGGAGTGAACCAGTGGATGGAAGACCTCTCTCTCTCTCTCTCTCTCTCTGCCTCTCCTTCTCTCTGTGTAACTCTGACTTTCAAATAAATAAGTTAATTAGGAAAAAAAAAAGGAAGATAAAGTTTTTTTGACAGGCAGAGTGGACAGTAAGAGAGAGAAACAGAGAGAAAGGTCTTCCTTTTTCCATTGGTTCACCCTCTCAATGGCTGCTGCTGCCGGCACACCACGCTGATCCGAAGCCCGGAGCCAGGTGCTTCTCTTGGTCTCCCATGCAGGTGCAGGGCCCAAGGACTTGGGCCATCCTCCACTGCAAGTGTATTGTTCCTGTGCAACCTGGTGAAGGTACTTCACACCACTGAAAACTGGCTGAAGGGTACATTTTATGGAAGATCTTTTTTACCACACATGCAAAGAATAGCAACGCTGTCCTTGGCCACTATCTCTTAATGCCTAGGAGGCAGCAGCCACAGCTTCAGTATTCTGTGACCTAAGAACAGTTTCACCAGATTGACATAGGGCCATAGAAGGTCATTGCTGGAAGGGACATTGGAGGTCCTCTAATCTGGCCCTCCTCCCCCAGACTGCGAAGCTCCACCCCAGCCAGCCTGGGACCAGTGTCTTTATACTTTGCACTACTTGCCCAAGCTTTCTCTCGCACTCTCTGTGTGGTTTTGCCAGCCGGGGACATGGTGGTGGTAAATTGAGACCAGAGCCCTGGTGGCCTGACAGCAGCTATGCAGGGGTGCTCAACATTCTTCCCCAGCTGGAGCCTTGCGTCACGTGGCCAGTGAGGATCGGCAGACTGCCTCGATTTCTTTCCCACCACTGGGTGAGCCAGGGTCACCCATCACTTTGTGCTCGGCGGAGCAACTACTATTTTGCTTTTGGAATTACCCAAGGAAGCAAAGACTTTGAGAACAAATAGCCCTCTTTCCCATTTTCCACCCACTTTTTGAACCCTCAAGCTCTGGAAGAGTATACCACCACCTACTTTTTGGGTCTTGATCGGTTATTTTGATTTTGGTTTCAGTGCTGCTGGAACCATTTCCCTATGTTTTATTCACTAAGAGTGTATGGCTCTTCCAGGATTCTGGTCTGTAAAGATAGGCTGTCTTAGAACTTTCTGGTTTAAAATGTGTATAGAATGTCCTTGCTAACAGCTGCTGCCCTGTTGAGTGGGGAGAAGAGAGGCAGCAGATGGAGAGGCCGCCTGGCAGCTCAGGTCTCCACACCCTGGGTGTGGTTATCAACAAACAGCGGTAGGCAGATGAAGAGCCGGGTGACCAAGCAGTAAGTGGCTTGGCAGAAGGAGCCCTGTATGGATAGGAATTGCACGTGACGCTGCTTTCTTTTGATTATAGCAAGCGGATGAGACCCTGGATTTTGAAGAACAGATCTTGGAAGCCGCGAAATCCATTGCTGCTGCCACGAGTGCCCTGGTGAAATCGGCCTCAGCGGCCCAGAGGGAGCTGGTGGCCCAAGGAAAGGTGGGTGATTCCAGGAACGGAGGCGACACCTCTGGTCCACCCAAGCAAACACGTGCTGTGCCTGCTTCCCTGCATTGCCTGTCTTTTCTCCAACAATTCTATTTGCTTTAACTTCCCCAGCAGAACCAAGGATTTGGCTTCTGGGCCTCTCATCTGTTTCTTGTTAAGGAAAGCATCCCATTCCAGGCAGCGATCAGAGACTTTTATATCCCCACTGCACATGAGGCTATTTAACAATGTAAATCGTCGTAGTATCCTGGGGAATGGGTCTAGAAGCACCATCGGCAGGGGGTTTTGTGATTCCATGTCCCAGCTCCACGTGGCTCCATTTGTTTTCAGGAATGTTGAACTAAGTGCTGTCCAGCTTTGCCGTTGGCGCTTGCTGAGCCCGTTGGTTCTGAGGTCTGACCGGGCTTAGATCTGAGATTTCTTCCATCAGCTTCATCTCCAGTCACCCATTCCGTCGGCTTTCACATACAAGCATCGTTGTTTTTCATGGGTCAGGGGGTGGCCAGTACACTAGAGTGGCTGTGGATATGGTGTGGCCTCCCAGTTTAGGAGCCGCCATGCTTCCTGGCAGTACCCACACAGCACAGACCCACGCTCTCCCCACCATGCCTCCGGAGAATCTCTCCCACGTCTCAGCCCTGCAGCAACCCAGCAGGCAGGGGGCACAACTGACAGTCACTCCTCCTTGATATTAAAAAGACTGGGCTGTCCAAGTAAGAGACACGGTTGCGTCTTGACCCAGGAACTTGTAGTCCAGACAGGAAGTGATGCTCGCCCAGCACAGGGAAGCTTGGCCACGTCTCAGTTCAACGCACATACCTGGATTCCTCTTTCCAAACCACCGTATGGCGTGCTGTTCGATTCCAGTGTGCCCGTGTCTCCCCCACTGCTGTGCCAGCTGTCTCCCCATGCCCCCATTTGTCCCCTGTAGATCCTGCAGAGTGCCGGCCTTGCTGTGCAGACCTATCACCATGTAGAAACCACTAGCAGATCGCTCAGCAGAACGTCCTGCCCCAGAATTCCTGTTGACTTCAGTGTTGGCAAATGGCTGCTGTGGGCCACCTAGGTTGCTTCGCACGAGAGGCCCTAACTCGAGTATGGCAGAGTCTTTATTTTCTAAGGAGCTGATGTATTCAAGCCCTTAAAAAGGTGGACCAGGAGGCTTAGCTAGAATCAGATGAACTGTCAGATTAGATGCAGGGGCCTTGAGGTTTAGACCAACACGTAGCGAGCCCTGATGTGGGGCCCGGAACTGCTGGCAGAGCCCCAGGTTCAGATGCAAACCGAGATACCCGGCTCCTACCTCCCCGGCACCTCCCCCAAGCAGGCAGGTGTTTCCTCCCACAGCCGCTCCCTGGAAACCTGCTCGGAAAATGTGTCCCTTGTTGCCGTGCTTTCTAAACAGAAACAGATCCATCTCCCCGGCCTCCCCAGCCCCCAGCTGCTTCTTCCTTTCCCGTCCCCTGACCAAAGGGTCTGCATTTCCCGAGGCCGAGCGTCTACATTCGGTTGTAGGCAGGGAGGCACACGGCCCTTTTCTGACATCGTCTTGCAGAAGTGCACAGTGTGGCCTGCAGGAGGGTCAGTGCCCAGAGTTCAGATTCCCTTAGCCCTTGAAAGAGAAGGCCTCAGTGGGGCAGGGTCAGCAGAGGATTCGAGTAAGTAAAACAGCCCAAGCCCCCCGTTCCCCAGCAGATTCCCAGAAGCCTGGAACCTGCCAGGTCGGCACAGGTCCCTCCCATGCAATTCCATGGCCTCGTGTGGCCTGCTGCGAGCCAGCTGAGATGCGTCGGTGCAGCCTGTGTGCAGGCGTGAGAGGGCTGATCCGTTCTCCGATCAGTGCTGAGGGTGGGAGTCCCCAGGAGGTACTGCCTGTCTGGTTCCAGGGCCCTCAGGCCACCCTAGGCTGCCAGCTCTCATTTCAGATTTCTCCATCTCCTCTTCAGGTGGGCTCCATCCCAGCCAACGCGGCAGATGACGGACAGTGGTCCCAAGGGCTGATTTCTGCCGTGAGTCTCCCTCTCCTTCCTCCCCATTTGCTTCGTGGATGCCCCGGGAGGAGGTGTGGGACCCGGCTCAGTTCTCTGTTGGCTGTCCCCAGGCCCGGATGGTGGCGGCCGCAACCAGCAGTCTCTGCGAGGCGGCCAACGCCTCCGTCCAGGGACACGCCAGCGAGGAGAAGCTGATCTCATCCGCCAAGCAGGTCGCCGCTTCCACGGCTCAGCTGCTTGTGGCCTGCAAGGTGAAGGCCGACCAGGACTCAGAGGCTATGAGGCGGCTACAGGTAATGGTCACTGATGCTGGTGGGAAAATTCTCCTGCTGGAGAGGGTAAGTGTCGCCCACGGGGACAGTCTCACTTCCTTGGCATGACCCATTGGGCCTTCCATCAGTGCGCTCCGCCCCACTCGCCAGCCTCATCCTCGCCACGTGGTCCATGCATCCCGCGCCTGCTGCCCTCTGCACACGGGCCTCCTGGTTGTGTGCTTTGGGGCCCTCGCCTAGAACGCCCTGGGTCCGCTCCTCACTGGGCCAACATGGCAAATGCCTACTCATCCTTTGTGACTCATCTAAAAAGCTGTCTCCTCTGGGAAGCCCTCCCTGCCTCCCAAGGCTCAGTCACTCCTCTGTCCCACCGTAGCCCCCAGCCAGATTACTCTTAATGGTTCCTGCCTTGTGGTCCCACTGCACTTTTTTTTTTTTTTTTTTAGGATTTTTTTTTTTTTAATTTGAAAGACAAAGTGACAAAGACAGAGGGAGGAGTCTTCCATCTGCTGGTTCACTCCCCAAATGGCCACAAAAACTGGAACTGGCCAGGCCAAAGCCAGCAGCCAGGAACTCTTATCTGGGTCTCTCATGTAGGTGGCAGGGGCTCAAGCACTTGGACCATCTTCTGCTGTCTTCCCAGGTGCATTAGCAGGGAGCAGGATCGGAAGCAGAGCAGCTGGGATTTGAATCACTCGGACACTCTGATATGGGATGCCAGCGTCACAGGCAGTGGCTTACCCTGCTGTGCCACAATGCTGGCTCCAGCACTGTGCATATTTTTATGGCAGTTTGTGACACAGCCATGAGCTTAGGCACTTCTGCCTCTCTCACACCTCATGGGATGCCTGGGTCAGAGGCTGCCTTAGGTCTGCATTGGCCCCAGAGGGTAGGAGGGTCCTGAAGAGTGTGGCTGAGCCTGTGGATCAGGTTTCCCAGAGCCCACAGAGCAAAGCCCAGCCCCACCCAAGGCATTCGCTGTCCTGATTGTTTGAGTTATGAAATTATTTGAAACATGATAAAGGAATGTTTGGGGGAAAAAAAACCATCGCCTCAACATTGTCACACATCAGCTATGACGTTGTGCTCTGTTCCTGTTGGTAGCTGCATCCACACTGAGTTTGCCTGATTGTAATCATAGCAGGGTGCATTCTGCTTTATCTCTGTGTGACATTTGATCATGTGTGTTTCTCTCCTTGAAGATGAGGCCCCATGAGTTTGTCTCTGCAAAGCTGACCGGTCCATTCTTCATGGGTTTCATTTTTGATGATTGCATGATATCCCATCGCTGGTGATGCCAGAATTTTCCTCTACTTTGGACATTTTGTTTGTTGCCAACTTTCTAGAATGCCACTGTTTTAAGTAGTTTGATGCAGATTGTTTATATGGCTAAAATACATTGATATAAGTTACGTAAGACATTGTAAATGGAAGCAGTGTTTGAACAATTCTACCCAAACTCTTACTGTGGAAGTCTAGCTACTGCAGACAATCTCCCTGAGATAAACCCCGGGGAAATTGGGGATCTCCTTGTTTGTGGATATGCGACTCCTTGGTTGTAAGCACACGTTTGAGGAAAACAGCCTGAGTTAAGGGAGACCTGGGTTCAAGTCCGGCCTCTGTCATGAATGAAGCGCATGATTTTAAACAGAATGCTCAAAAACTTTTGAGGCCTCCGTGGCTTTAACCATACAATGGGGCTTGAATATCTGTTCTGTGTCTTATGAGGGGGCCACATAGGATAATGGGCAGGGAAATGATTTGGAACATCCTCAGAATTCAGAGAGAGAGAACACAGCACCACTCTGGTCACCGTCATTACTAGCTTCACTGGACACAGTACTTACTGCCAGGTGTGAGCCCCCTAACAAAGAACTCAGGAATTCTTGGTGGCTGGAAGGATCTGTGTTCAGATCCCAGCTCTGTGACTTACTAGCTATGGACTAGCTATGGAAGCTTCTCAGACAACTTCAGAACCTCAGTTTCCACCTCAGAGAAGTGGGCTAATGATTTCTGACCTCCTAAAACCCTTTGGTGGCTCCTGGTTGGATGTTAATGGGCTCTCCCTTCCTCCTTCGCCCAAGTCCTCGTTGTCCCCATTGCTTCCTCTGGATTACTGAGCAGATGGGTCAGTTAACTTGGAATGCGTGCAGCTCTCAACTCTCTGATAGCTCACCCTCAAGCCCAAGCCCCTGCCTCTGGGCAGGGAATGTAGGAGGTTTGGTGAAGCCTTGACCACAGGTCGAAGAAAATCCAAACCTCTGGTGGCAGAGGGATGCACTGGGGCCCTGCTCCATGGGCACTCAGAGTAAGCCAGCATGGTGATAGCCTTGAATGAAATTTAGACTCCACGTGGAAAAGCTTGTCTGGCAGTTGCCCCATTCTTGAGTTTGTAACATAAACCTCACGTGTGACTCTAAAAGTCCATCCAAGAAGGCCCTCGACCCTGTGAGGCTCCCAGCCCCCCGCACAGGGGTGGGTGCGCCCTGTGCCGTCATAGCCCTTTGTACCCTCAAGGCCTTCAGCGAGTGCCAGGGGCACAAAGATTTAAGCCACTGCCCCTGCCTGCAGCCAGTCGCTGTCTGCGAGGCAGACAGGCAGCCCCAGGTGTTGTCAGGGCTGCAGCACAGAGCACTCCAGCAGCAGGGAACTGGAGAGTGTGGGGAGGGCCGAGGTGGGTGGGAGCAAGTAGGGGCTGGGCCAGGTCCTCAAGTCTGTGCTGGATTGGATGGGGACAGAGGGAGGGGGTTTTCTAGATCAAAGCAGCAGCCCCTGAGCACCCTTCTGTGAGCACACACATCACACTACCGCAGTCATTCATTGACATGGTTGTGTGCTCTTTGGCAGTGGTTATCTGCAACCAACCTGCAGGCAGGTACATGCTGATGTTGGTAAAAATCGGTGATAGGCAGACAGACAGATCTCACTGGCCAGAGAGCTGCTGTGCTATCATGGGATGATAAGTTGACTCATGCACTGCGCCTTCGTGTCTGTTCCCGCCAGACCCAGACAGCTGTCTCTAATGCCATAATCTGTGCTTCCTTCCCTCTCCAGGCGGCAGGAAATGCGGTGAAAAGAGCCTCAGACAATCTTGTTCGTGCAGCCCAAAAGGCAGCATTTGGCAAAGCGGATGATGACGATGTCGTAGTGAAAACAAAGTTTGTGGGGGGCATCGCGCAGGTTTGTGGTTCAATCTGGAGGAGCGATGCATGTTACCATAGAGACACAGATGCAGAGCCTTAAATAAGGGGGTGTTGGGAGGGGGGATTTCTGCCTTGTGCACCAGTCAGTGTGAGCAGTGCACAGGCAGCATGGTGGGCCCTTCACATCTGAGGCCCAGACTCCAGTGCCCCATGGCTCTGCCATCCCTGACACAGAGCCAGGTTCCTGAGGGTGCCGAGGGCCCCTGTGTCTCAGGGCCATCTGGGTGCAGGGCACTAGCTCTAACTACAGGGATAATGGAGCCAGGTCCTCTTCCATCAGCTGGGTGACTCCAGGGAGGTGGACCCATCTCTCTCTCTGCTGTCTACAAGAATGAGCCTTTAAATAGGGCATCCTTAGTGGGTTGCCAAGAAGCTGATGGGACAGCCCATGTGATGTATTGCCCCGAGCCTGTTAACTGCTGTTAACTCAGTGGCTGGAGGTCAGCCCTATTGTCTTGGATCAGCTGGGTCAGTGGTCTCCAACTGCAGTCCATGGCGCACAGGCGAGTCGAGAGCTGAGGGCTCTGTAGGGATGTGGGAGGAGGGGTTTGCCGGAAAAGGTTGGCTGCAGCTGCCTTGTTGTTTTCCTTCTAGATCATCGCTGCCCAGGAGGAGATGCTCAAGAAAGAGCGGGAACTGGAAGAAGCAAGGAAAAAGCTGGCCCAGATCCGCCAGCAGCAGTATAAATTCCTACCCACGGAGCTAAGGGAGGATGAAGGCTAAGGCCAGGCCGAGGCGGTGAGCCCCGGGGGAAAGCCCTGCAAGAACTGGAAAGACTGTGTTCCCGAGTGCCGGGCACCTCCCTGGAAACTGCCTGCCTCCCCCGGGGCCCGCCCAGAGCCCCCCTTCTCTGTCCTGTCGGCACCGGCTGCATGATCGTGATGTCACACGGTACAGTGTCCTACCCACAGCCCCTCCACCACCACCCCTCGTGCCTCGTGTATCTCAGGAGAGAGGGGCGCACCTTTTGTGAACTGTTACCAAAAAAAAAAAAAAAAAGAGAGAGAAGTCAGTATTATATCGTTCTCAGACACTTTGGCGTTTGTTGGTCCTTCTCTGGCCTGCTCCTGGACCTCCTCGTGAAATCTTACCAGGAAAAGCGTAATGTCTCGGGGGAAACCCGCGATGTCATAGACGTCCTTCTCCCTCTCAGGAGAAGATGCAAGGTGGAGTTGGACACAGTTAATAAAAGCCAGGAACGAACCCATGTGGACTCCAGGAATGTGACTCGGGGCCTTCCCCCATAGCTCGAGCAGCGGCTCACGCCGGGGTAAAGCATTCCCACCCCTGTGTGCACGCTTCCCGCCTCCGTGTGCAAGCTCCGTGTACAGTCTGCACCCACCTTGTCTTCTGTGGCCGGGAAAAGTCAAACGATTGTTTCATTTCCTCCGTCATCCAGAGTGCAGGGTGGTGGGAGGTGGTCAGGGCCTGGGACGCAGGGGCTGTAATAAAGCACGTGGGCTCCTTATCTGCAGTGGTATTTCAGTTCTTCAGGTCCATCCACGCAGACCCGTATCCCCAAGTGTCAGTGGACTGCCTACTCCAAAGCATTCGGGATGGGATTCAGCTGGAATAAAGATTCCCCAGAGACTCCGCGTCTCTGCTCTCCAAATGGCCAGAATTCAGGGTTGGAAAGCATCTCGTTAAAAATCCCTCACCTGTCCCCCCATCCCAAGATTGTATTTTTCTCCACTCTATCTGAATGTTCTTGAAATTTAGCTGTGTTCTGAAATCAATGTGAAATTTGTGCAAAAATATTTTTGTTTATCATCACATAAGACATATGGTGTTTTCAGAGTTTATTTTCTGGGTGCCACACTTGCAGAATTTCACATTTCCCCCCTCTTTCCTGTTCTGAGCCTTCTGGGGAGGACTTCGTGAGTTTTTTTTTATTAAGACTTTTAACTTAACTTTAATCTGAGCCTTGACCCAGGACAATACATGAAGGGGGAATGGCTTGTGAGACAGATTCTCAGGCCAGGTGGCGAGTGTCTTTGAAGGGATACAGCAAGGGCACAGGGGCTGGTGGAGGTGATGGCTTCTGAGAGCAGCCTCCTTGGCCTCTCTGGAGTGGTGTGGTCTCCCGCCTCACTGGCCACCCACCGTGCAGTGTCCCAAGTCTGCCTGGAGAAAAGTCGGCGCTCCAGTCTTCATCAGATGTCACACTTCAGCCTCGCCCAGCAACACTGCCGTGGCACACTTGAGCCTGTGTCCTCCCAGGAAGAGCTCCAGGTGCTTTCGGACACTTCCAAGGGTCAGACCCAAAGGCTCAGGGTCAACATGGGCAGGTGGCCTCGGGATGGGGTGGGGGGCCCTCACGGTCCACCTCACCTGCACTTCTGTGCTCTAGGTTGTGCCCAAACCAGCTGCCCCTCTTTGATCCTCCCTGTCCCTTGTCCTATCCCAGCATCCAATTAAAAACCTCTGCTGTTGGTGCCAGAAGGATCTGCAGAAAGAAACCAAACCAAAGGCCCATTCTTTGCAACAGTAAGAAGCAGGTGTGGAACAAAGCTGGTTTCTGCGGGCCCTACGCCAATGGCCTCCTGCCCGGGGGTTCTGCTGCCAGGAGCTGCTTGGCTCCCGGTCGTCACCTGTCATCCGGCTTCCTCCTCTGTCCTTCCCTGGGCCACGCTGCATCCACGCTTGGGAGTGGCCTCAGGGCCTGCTGGCTCACTTCTTGATTTGTATGTGGCGGAGGGGCTGCCTGTTCTCTGGGTGTTATCTCATGGGTGCTATAGCAGGAACCCCAGATGACCTCGAGGCACTGGGGGGCTTCTAGCTCCTCTTTAGAGGGAAACAATGCTAGTAGTGCATTTTGGGGTCTGAGCTTAGATTGCAGAAGGCCTAACAAGAGGGTGGTTTTAGGGTAAAAAACGGCCCCAGGCCTGGAGCATGGAAATGAGACAGGGACAGGTGCGTGGGCATGCACCCCCTTCTGACCCCCATGAGGGAGACGAACATTAGGTGTTTTTTTAAAAATTATTTATTTATATAAAGTGAACAAATTTCATGTATTTGATATATACAGATTTAGGAGTATAGTATACTTCCCTTCTACCCTCCCTCCCTCTTTTCCTTATTAATTTTTGCAATGACAAATTTTCAGTTTGTTTTATACTCATAAGCTTAACCCTCCACTAAGTAAAGAATTCTACAAGCAGTAAGAAGAAAGCACTGTTCCTCACCAGGGATGGAAACAGATTTGGGTCTTTGTGCTGGACCTCAGAGCTGCCTGTGATTTAGGGGTTTGGATTTTGCATGCTCTGCCTTTGAGAAATCTTCGAATAAGGATGCTAAAGACGTGTTAGGTTACACGGAGAGCCCTCGTCCAAGCTCCGCTGGTGTGCGGCTGCAGGGCTCCCGGCAGTCAGGGCGGGCAGGTGCCTCCAGTCCCGGTCAGCCGCCCCATGGGTCTTCGGAGGCAGCTGTAGCCGGTGGCCTGCCTTGGCCACCCTACGCTCTATCCCAGCACACTGGGCTTCTGAGAGTTCTTCCTGCTTCCTTTCTGGGCCACTGAAGCCTCTTTCTAACACCGATACATCTCATCAACGTTCACCCCCCCAAAAAAAGAGTCAACCCCACTTCCCAGGCCAGAACCTCATCCAAGAGCCATGAAGATGGTGAGCCAGCCACGGCCTCTGCTCGCTGGGGGCTCGCAGGCCCCTCACGGGGGAGCCACAGTCTCCTTACTAGCTGGTTCCCCCGAAGTGCAGGTTCTAGGCTGTGACACAGGCGTCTCAGGTTGCAGCCTTGAGCTCCCAGCTCCGGCTGTAGGCCTGTTCTGCTCCGAGATTCCTGGAGGGGTGAACCCCATCTGTGGCTTCTCAGGACCCAAGGACTCTGGAAAAAGTGTCCCCCTCAGGCTCAGAGGCAGCCACGCCCAGAGCTTAGAAAACAAGATGTTGGCAACCGTGCTAGTGGCCCCCCATCCCACCTGGCCACAGGGCCATCGGAGGTGGAGGTGGAGTCTTCCCCCGAGTTCCACACCGAAAGCGTCCGGAGGCCACTGCCCTGTCCTCCCGAGGGTGTGCTTGCCGGGCCACCGTGTGGCTGTGTCACCGAGCTTCTGACTGAGAAAGCAAATGCTGCAAAGAAAAGCTTCTGCTTTGCTATGGAAGAGGATCGGATCCGGCCATCCTCCAAGCCTGGTCCCAGCCCTCCGAGAAGCCTTGAGGTGGCGCTCCATCAGCACCTCTCGCGAGCCCCAGCATCTGGAGGAAGCCAGGAAAGTGGCGCTCCGCTCCATGTCGTGCCATCTCAGCGCCTAATTTATCTAGTCATGTTAAATTATTTTTTTTTAATTCACCAGAAATAAACTTGTAAAGGAATAAACTGTGTGAAGGTCTCATAGGAATGGACGGGGAAGGTGGTGGAGGAGGGAGGGCGGGGAATGTGTCTCTCTTCCGGCAGAGAAATTCCACCAGCTTCCTGGTGACACGTGTGTGTGAGCGCAGGTGTGGGCGCATGACACAGGCAGAGCCAGCGTGCAGCGCGTTCCCCGCAGGACAAAGACGTTGGCTCCGCTCCGCGAAGAGGCAAGCTTCCTGAACCGGCCGCTGGGGGGCGTTGTCCGCCGTGTCCCCTCCGCTGGAGGACTGCACATGCGCCGCACAGAAATGTGGGGCAGGGTCCTAGGCAAACCCCGGCTGCTTCCCTCTGACAGCCCGGGGCTGGGCGTGGTAGGGGTGGGGACGGCCTCCCCACGGACCCTTGGTTTTGGGGGAGAAGCCGGCCAGAACAGCGTGAGGCGTTTCTCACCTGCCGGAGGAGGGTGTCGAACCCACCCCCCAGCAACCCAGGAAGGGTCACTGGTGTGTCCCACTGATAGAGGATTTTTTTTTCCCCTCAAAATAGTGCTTGAGGGTTTCTAAATCAGCTAACTAGTAATTGTTTTTATCAAATATCTGTTTTTCAAATTTTACTCACCTGAGAGGCGGAGACAGAGCAATATCTCAGGGCAACACGGCCCTGAGCCGAAGTCCTCGACTTAATGGTGAAAGTGGGGTTGGGCCTGACCTTCACCAAAATGGAGGCCGGAAGCGCCGACGGGCACTGGGTCTCACCAGAGCTGAGTCTGCTGGGCGGCCGCTGGGCGCTGCTGGACACGCATGGCGCTCAGCCCCGGGCAGCTGCGGGGAACGTGTCACGACCCCTTTGCCGAGGGTCAGGCCGGGAGCAGCAGCCGTAGGGATTCAGGCCGTCTGTGCCCATGGCCAGGATAGGCCGGCCACCTAACAGGAACTGACCTAAACTGCCTACCTAAACTGACCTACACTGCCCCAACCCCTGCTGTGTGCAGGACCTGGGCACCCAGCCTGCCTGGACTCGGAGGTCACAGGCCAGGGCGGGCAAACCCTTGACCCAAGGCCACGGAGGAGAAGGCGGAGCCCTGAAGTAGGGAATGGCTTCCGGGAAGAGGAGGTCTGGCCTGACCTCAGTGCACCGTGTCCAGGCAGGGATGGGGAGGGAGGCGGGGCCTGCGCTTAGGGAGAGGCGATGGCCTGGGAGGAGAAGGAGCGGTTCCGGGGGCCGGGGCGTGTGTCCGGCAGAGGAGGGCGGCCAGGAGCGCGCACACGGCGAGGGGCCTCACGTTGGGACCGGGAGCTTCAGTGACTCGCTCATCAGGGAGGCCGAGGAGGTTGTGTTTTGGCAGAACTCGCCAGGAAGTGTGGGGATGGTCCCACAGAGGGCAGCCCCTCGGAAGTGAGCAAAGTTCAGAGCAAGGGAGGAAGGCGTGAGCCAAGCCAGGAGCGCCCGGTGGGACGTGGTGCGGCCGAGGGAGCCGAGACAGCTGCGGGTGTTTCATCTCTCCATGGCTGGCCCTCGGGCCACACGTGGCTTTATCACCTACTTAACCCTCACCGCGACTCTACAGCGTTGTGCATGGGTGCTCTTACTACACTCGTTGTGCAGACAACTAGGCCGAAACAGAGAGGTTAGGTCACTTATCCAAGGCCACACAGCCACCAGAGCTGGGATTGTCCGGCTGCTGTGTTAAGCTCCTTCAGCAAAGCCGAGGCTCAACCTGCAATTGGTCTCCAACAGCCGTGCTGTGAGCAGTAGTCCTCAGACCACTCTGTCTGGGCCTGGCCAGCCGGCAGAGGTCAAGGAAGGACCTGGGAGCAGAGGGTAAGCGTGGCTGTGACGCCCTACAGGTCTGCTGGGCCAGCAGGGACAGAGGGGTGGGGGCTGCAGGACAGGAGGCCGAGTCCGCGTGCATGCTGGTGGGAGAAGCGGCCGTCCTGAGGTCGGTGGCAGCCCCGGCTTCAGCCTACAGGTCTCTGTTCTCCCTCCTGGCGTCTCCTGAATCCTGGCTTGGGGTCTTTTTCTTTCCTATCCCAGCCAAGCCTGAGTTGAAAACACCAGCACTGAAAGCTAACGACTAAGCCAAGGTCGTGGCCCGTACCGGAGCTCCAGTTCTTGTCCCAGTTCCTCCACTTCTGACCCTCTTCCTGCCAATGCCCCCGGGAGGCAGCAGGTGATGGTTCAAGTGCTCGGACCCCTGCCTCCCACGTGGCAGACCCAAACTGAGTTCCCAGCTCCTGGCTTCAGCCTGACGCAGCCCCAGCTGTTGTGGACATTTGGGGAGTGGACTGACAGATGGACATCCGTCTCTCACTCTTGCTCGCTCTCACACTCTGCCTTTCGAAGAGAAGAAACTATAAGCATTTTTTTAATGATGAGCACTGAGTATGATCTGGAGAAATTCAGCCAGGTTGTTTTTATTTGGGTCGCCTGCACACCAAAGAGGACGTAAGTGCGGGGGCTCTGCGCCTGAGC